GGCCGTACAGCAGCGAGTTGGGGGAGGCGGGCCGGGCGGGCGCCCACGTGGCTTCCGCGGCCGCTACCCGGACCCGGCTCCCGGGCCCTGACCGCACCCCTCGGCCCGCAGGACCATGGCCACCCTCGAGCGCACCTTCATCGCCATCAAGCCGGACGGCGTGCAGCGCGGCCTGGTGGGCGAGATCATCAAGCGCTTCGAGCAGAAGGGATTCCGCCTGGTGGCCATGAAGTTCCTGCGGGTAACGCGGCTCCTCTCTCCCCTCCCGCCTCTGCAGCTCGGACGCGGGTGTTTCCCTCCCGGCAGCGGCTTGTCAGCGTCTACTTTCCGAGTTGGAGCCCCACTTGGCCAGTTCCGCTCCCGCGAGAATCCCTTTGCCCTCTGCCCCGTCCCCAGGGTCGCTGTGGCCCCCCGATCCTTCTCCGAGGCCCGGGAGGACAGGCGCCCTTGGGAAGGTTAAGCTGAGTGACGTGACTCTTGCTCCGGGGCTGGCTTCCTTCCCGCGGGGCGTCCGACCGTGGGCCGTCACCCTGCCCATCCGTCGCAGGGGGGCATCAGGGAGTGAAGAAAGCCCGGGCCCCGGGCCCCAGACCCCCGACCCTTTTCCCCTGGTCCACGCGTGCCTACATATGCACAGAGTGGAAGCTTGATATCCTTTTGAGCTTTGGCCTGCAACTTCGAGATGACTGAGGTTTTAGGTGTGGTGTCCTTCCTTTGGCGTGTGGGAACTATATTTTCCACGTTAAATTTTTGAGGTGCAGATCAGAACGATCAGAACCCCTACACTTAAGTATCTACTGAAATTTTAACCAAGTTCATCAGTGAAGAGAATGTTCTCAGTTATCTGAAATATTTAAAAGGGCATTGGGCATTGTGAATAGGCCGGAGTAGTTTGATATGACCTTTGTCTGGCATATTTACTTCAATTGCAGCCAAAATTTAACTTGCTAAATCTAGATTCTCAAACCACATACTTTTTACGATTATAAAATCCATAATCATAAAGACATTATGAGGGTGTCTTTATGACCTTTCTGCTAAAATAACCTCAGTTTTGTGGTCTGGATTTTTTTTTTTAAATACGCACCTTACGAATGTGAGCTAAAATACCAAATTGGACATTTACAGAGTCTCCCATGTTAATGGGACTGTCAGAGAATGGGATGGAGCTATACTTGAGACTTTCCAGCTCATTTCCTAACTGGTTCCTCTTCTT